TAATGAGATGTGGACGTTTCACTGGTAAAGGTTGCACCAACAAACAGTCTGAAGTATGAACAGGTTTATCTTGTAATGACTGTCGAGAAATGTAGTCAACATGTTGAATTTGCTTGGCACTCCTGTGCTGAACCGTTTTCATTACTCCATTACACTTAGCACACGTGGCTATTAAATCTTCAAGTAAAGCATCAGAATTTTCTTTAGAAACTAGGAAAGACAACTCCACTTTAAGTCTTTTCAAATTCTTTAAACTCAATATTGACAGTCCTGTTTCACTAACTAAAAATTCACAAGGTATGTATGAGGAATTGTCATCTCTTATTAGCAATTCACAACATCCTCGTATAGGCAGTCTGCGTCCAGTAATCCCCAATATTGATACTTCAGTGGATCGTATCACAACGTTCGGATCTAATGATTTCATGTTCTTGAAAGAAATAATGGACTCTATACTGCCTGTGTCCACAATAAAGTCATGACATGAACCAAGTGATGTATATAATCGCTTTTGAGTATGAGCATTACCTTTCGAAATGGTAGACAAAGATAAATGATCATTAGGATCAGCTGAATTATTGGAATCTAAATTACAAGATTTAGTACTACTTGAGGCAAAATGAACAGTAGCTTTGCATACTGTTTGAATGTGTCCTATCTTACCACATCTAAAACATTTAGCATCACGATATGTACATGAATTACGAGAATGAAGTTTTCCACATGATAAACATTTGCCAAACTTGGTCTCACCTTAGTGATTTCCTTTGTAATTCTTTATTGAAACACCGTTCATATTTACACGAGAATCGGAACCTCTGTTAAACCAACACAATTTTGATGGACCCTGAGATTGTTTTTCATCATGACAACTAATCAAAGTATTGGAAATCTTCATCGACTGAATATCAAGTTCATTCAACGCCTCGTAGTTAATACACGCAGTTCTAACATCTTGAAAGGAACAGTTTGACATTCTTAACAGCTCTCTTTCCAAACTAGGTATGTTAATTCCTGCAATTAATCGGTCTCTCAGCTGCACATGAAGTTGATCACCAAAATTACATCTGACAGCCTGTTTCTGCAATTCAAGAATGAATTCCTTAACATTTTGGTCATTTTGACGAATCATCTTGTGAAATTTCACTCTTTCACGGCATTCAAAACCGGGGCACTTTACATGATTCAATAATAACTCCTTTAGCATTGCATAGGGAGGTGAAATAGGTTTTTCTGGATATGCCAAGGTTTTCAATAAGCTGTACGCTTCTTTTCCGATGAATGTTAGGAAATGAGCCACAATTTTATCATCTTTGGCATCTTTCCTGGTCATACTCCAGATTTCAAACCTTTCCAAATAATCTTCAAAAGCTTCAGAAGTAGAATGAATATCTAACTGTTCCATTACAAGCTCCATCGCGACGCCAGTATGATGATTAGAAGTATGTGAATCAAGAACTAAGGGATAAGCACAAACGAATGTATTGTATTTAGAATTCGAAATCAAGCATTCAACAACAACAAGTCACTAGTTCATTCAAACACCACATAAATGCTACGGTTTCACACTTCTATTGTATTTAAGAGAGTATCAGTGCCTCTAGCACTTGATTAAGAAAGTATCACAGTACCCAGATCTCTGGAAAATCCTTACCGGCGATCACAATCCTTGAAGTAAATTCAGATCATGCGAGATATCTTGGAGAGGCTCTTCGCAAGATTAATTTCTATGACAGTAACATTAGAGCGATGAGTGACGTTATTGGCCCAAACGAATTTTCCGTCGCCTCGAAAGTGTGAAAACCTACTAACACCACAACTATTGCGTCAGGAAACCTCCTTGGCGCCAACTGTATCCAGTAAATGTACTCAATTTTTACACAGTAATAAATTGACAGCGATTGTTCACGTCGTCATCAACACCGTCGAAAGTTGACACCCCTCCTCTGAATGAGATCAGCCGTTAGCAAGATTTTGTTTTATTATACACAGAGCAAAACGAAAATCAATAATACATACGATAACAGGTACACTTGCGTGGACGTATGTTTGTGCGGATCTGCTCCTGTATATGATACCATTTCTATCATAACACAGCTCTTCCTGAACGTCTTAACTCATTGCATCAACTACTCAGGCAACAAAAGTTAAAGAATAAAAGCCCTAAACTACCAGTCTGAAGAACCTCATTTCTTATTTCAGGTTGCGCACACATGTCTATGAGAACAGGCTCAATAAACGTGTGCACCTTAACCAATTGTTTTAAATGGTTCAACTTTTTTTGAAAGACTTCTTTTTGGTTGACTAGCTTTGCATATGTAATTCTCTAAGGACGTATCGTTAGTTGTAAGATTCGATACACATCTGCTGGATCATATCATCATGTATGGTTAACACAATTGTGTATACTATACTATATACTATACTATACTAAAATCACTATCCTAGCCGAATCAAGGAGCACGGAAACAAGCCTACTAGACTGGCCAGTAGAAAATTAAAAACCAAACTTCAGATAAAAGAATTAGAATACAATAACGGAATTCTCAATTGTGAATGTTATATTATATAATTTGTAATAATCGCACATGTGCCTAATGTCGGAGGCAAATCATGATCAAAAAAATATATCACTACCTGCTTGATGTGATTTCGCTTTATTATAGAATTGTACAAGAAATAAGATTCATTTAAGAAGAAACGTTTTCGAGGTGAACATTATGCCAAATAACGTCGATCTTGTTTCAAAAAATAAATGATTTCTTAATTATCGAAGCGCTCTCCATCTATTTTAAAGGGAAATGGTGTTGAAGGAGCAGTCTTCTTATCAAACAGACTTGGAACATTCAACTTAGTACAGTGTATTGTTGTAAATATTATCCCTTGATAGATTCGTTTGACTCAAACTTTGGAACTTATTTGTTTGCGATTTTGACCTTGGGCCTTTGGTTTCATTCTTACGCTTCAGCACTTTAATGTCTCCACTTTTTACAACATTTTTTTCTGTATTTGTGGAAAAGGATATTATTTTATCGGATTTAAAATTATAATGAATAAATTATCATTTGACTATGGTATGACTGTGATTTGAAGTTGTCTTCCAGCCATCCTAGAGTCTGCAAATCAATATCAAATAAATATATCTAATCTTTTGTTCACTGAAGTAATAAACGATAAAATCCAATGTGAATTTTGATTCAATACATTCATGTAATAGTAATAATGATATGTATCCTCAAATAACTGTAAGATACATGAGGCCTGTCAGTTGACATGCAAGATCAAATTGTTGTAAATGATACAACATTTGCATTAATAGGGTGCTCAGTTAGAACAAAAATGATATTATGATTTTTCTGGTATGTCAAGTTCACAATATCACAGGCATGATCAATTCGATACAACGTCATTTCCAACACGTGACTTCATATGTGGTATACACCCAGCAGCTTTCTTAGGTGAATTTCATAATTCAGGACTTATTCATGGGACGGTGTTTAGGGATATCCACTCACAGATTAGTTTTGTGAAGGAGGTCAGTAAGTTCATATTCGTTAGACAGTGTCGGTCGGAGTGCGCTTTGTGTAATCTGACAATGTTCGTGGCTCAACTAAAGTAAACTGAGTGCAATCATTATTCGATTTTATTGGTACTGTGAACATCGTTTTCATAGGTAGTGACAAATACACGCTTATAAGTTTCGAATACAAGATCATCGATAACTGTTATCAATGTTTCCAGTAAAATAACTGGCGAAATTATCGTTAAATAAACCAGGTTAAATACTGATGGTTGACAACAGTTTCAAACACTGATTTAAATGAAGTTCATCGATTGGTAATTTTTGATTTATTTGATATACATTTCAAAAGACTTGATTAGTCATTTCACTTTAGTGAAACGCAGATATTCTGTGTGATCATAGCTGTTTCGTTTCTTCTCTAACTTTATTATTCCAAAAATATCATATTTCGCTTTTATTTCATTTGAGGTTATATCTCATATATTGTTTATCTTGAAGAACTTGTAAAGGATACTAGCAAGTACTCCGTAACTGCTATCAGTGCGGTGAAAAGAGGTTGAAATGTTCAGTGCCAACTTATCCATATGATGAATATTTCTGTTTACCCAATTGAGTTTTTTTCGTAAAAGTAGAGTCACTACAATGTATTAGCGAATTGGCCAAGAAAATAAGAATCGTGAAGATGAGATAACCTTGACTGTAGTTTTTGATAAGTAATTATGCATGTAAAATAAAAAATGAGTATGACGTTGATTTAAAATTTATTAGCTTTAACAAGTATCTATAATTGTTTCTTAAAATCTTTGGAAGCTAAATTCAAGTTATACAAAATAACAAATAATTATCTCACTACTCAAAATCGGATAAAATTTGGATCATTGTGTAAAACGTACATAATTCTAAGGAAAGTTACATTTGAGTAATTAGTTAGAAACTAAACACATGAATGATAAAAGACTAAGATGCAAAAGGATTTGAAAATTAAGTTTGTATTCCAACTTTTCTCTCGTTGTGAGAATAAATTTATTAATGTTTTTAATTCAGTGACTAAAGTTGTTGCACTGATTATTTAAAGCTTAAGCTATGTGTACAAGACCAGTTCGAACCGCCTGAATAAAAAATTATGAAACGAAGTCAATCACACTAAGAATTTTAGATCTATCAGTTATTCCGTCATATCAAAACAACTGTTTGTTAACTGTGAAAAGTCCTATTACTTTGTGTAAAATAATTCCTTGCATTAATGACGTATAGAACCCATATTTCTATCACTAAAACAGGTTTGTCGTGATCTCCAATAAAAAGCCTTAGACACTGATGTATCTACCAATCGCATAGGATACTTATGAACTATTTTAAGTAAAACAAATAAAAGACTTATAGATAAATTTGATACGCCAGTTTTTCAAAAAGAATATAAAGATGAAGATTACTGTTATCACTAGTATTTGAACGTGTGAAAATTCAGTTAATTACAATGTCAACTGTATTTGGAGTCTTAATTTTGATTTGCCTACTTAATGAATCAGTAAAAGGTAAGTTTTATTGTATGCGTTAAAAAAATACTCATTTATTCAATCAAATAAACATCTTTTGATTGACGATAAACATGACGACTTAAGGAAAAGCACATTTTGTGAGCATAAGTGTTGATGCTGAAATTTTCTGATCAATAGTAACCAAATAACCAGCGTTCTTTATTCTTATGATAATCGTATTAACAAACAATATGTATTAAGTTGATTAAGTCACAATTCCGAATAGCCACCCTGGATGACTAAAACTCTTTAATTGATCCGAATAACGTTTTTTTTTCAAACAGAAAGTTGGTTACTGTAATTTGTACACAAACCAATCATCAGCAAAATAAATAACTGTATCCATGGTCAGGTATGGTACTGAATAACGTTGTTATCAGTCAAAAATGCAGGTAAAATAATGTACAGAAACTGCTTTAATGTTGCTACATTGTATACATTCTGAGAACTATTGCACAATGGACAATGAAAAACCTCATAGGAGTATTTACAGAAACACACTTTAAAAAAGCAAGTAATCTTGGTACTTGTGGCTTAAGTCTTGTCGTTACAAAAAGAAACATGGACAGTATTAGCCATAGATTTACTAAATTAGACGTCAAGAAAGTCATGCTGACTGCGTTTCTTTGAAATTATGGTAAGACAAGAAACGCTTTCATACACATATTCTGAATAAATTATTCTTGTGTAAATTTTATCTGACTAATTTTATTGATCTCTTATTGTTCACGTTACAATTACAACCTAATAAATAACAATCCATCATAAAAATTTATTGACATAAGTAATCTAAATGAATTTATTGGATTGTTCAATTAAGTGGAGTTACAGAGTTAGAAAAAAATTGAAAAAATTAAAATTCTAGTGATTAAGTTGCCTGAATAACTTAAAAATAATTAGTAACCCTTTATTGTACAGTTTTAGAAGCAGTTCCAAGTAAGCGAAAACCTATACTTTAAAATAACATTAAAAATATTTGATATCCAATGTTACAAGCAATATATGAAATTAAATCGGATATCGTTAAAAAACTAAAAGTCTGATATATCAAAAAAGAAGGGCAGCAGCATGAATAAAGATATAACAAACAAGAGATCCTGATTAAAACTGTACACGAAGATATTATATATATATATACAGCAAAAGACCCCAAACTTTTACTATGAAATAAATCAAACATAATTGTTTAAAAATTATTTTAAATCAATAATATGTTCAATGGTTAGAAAAGTACAATCTAATAAAGATTTATCTTTCCAAAAACTAACATATATACAGTGAAGATGTTTACAGAAATTTAATTATCTATTTCCTTGAACAAAAAGAGAAGGCAGCAAAAGGTGAGTGATCATTAATTGTTGATCATGTAATGGATGTTCAGATAAAATCAGTTATAAGACGAATAAGCAAAATTATACTGGAATTAATGCAGCATTCGAATAGCCATTTGGGTCCTATATGGCTTCCAGTAATGCATCAGATACTCACGATTCCCAAACCAAACAAATGGTGTGACGCATTAGGGAAACAGAGATTCTAATCAAAATCCACAAACACAGTTTCGTGTAGAGCAGGAAAAACGCGAAATAGGCAAGAAAAAGGTATCTGAAAAAACAAATTTACGCTTATGGATGGGACGAAAATTCAGTTACATAAGAGGTACACACTGAGGGATTTTCACAAACAAGTTGACACATATATGTAAAATGATATTACAAATACGGTTACTTATTTAAAGTTTTTCGAATAACCTTTTCGTCTATTAGGTTACAATTATCAACTAATCGTACGAAATATTGAGAGTCTCTGAAATTAAAATACTAAACAAGCAACTGGTTTATATATGTTTCTATAATTTAGATGTGAATGAAAGAGGTAAGTTAGTTTACCTGATTAGTTTATAGCTCTGTCTGTATTGATTATTGTTCATTTATTTAGACTGTATCGAGTCACTCTTGTTGAATTCGCGGTATGCGATATCTTATACTTGATCAGATATCCTTTCTTGATCAGGTATCCTTGTTTCAAGTCTGTTGACTCTTATTCTTATTCTTAAATCTTACTGAAGAGAGAGTGGAACATCATTGTAGCTACAGTTGTATATGCTTTCAGTGTTTCAGGTGATATGTCGTTTGGTTGTTCTGGTTTGTCACTCGTGATTCCTCCGATGACCACGCTAATGTCGTTGCTGGTATGTGGATCATCATCGGTCGAATGGTCAGTAGGTGCTACTTCGATGTTTCTCTGCTCTTTCTTCAACCTCTTTCAAAACATCGGTGAAGATCCGTTTCTTGCGATGGCGCCTCTTGTGGCCGAAAACCTTATGACATACGAAAGTTATTGCTTCCTTGATCCTTTTTCAATTATTTTCGATGGAGGCTTCCTCTCCACGTATTGCTGATTACTATTTTAAATCCATTCAGTTTTTCAGTATCACGAATAAAGGGCCGTAATAAACTTGTATGATACTGTTCATCCAGTTGTTCGGTGCTTCTTTACTATCCGTTTCATCTTGGCCAGCACGAAGTGATGATGTGGAACTATGTCAGACCCTCTCTTAGTTCTCACGTCCTCCATGGTCTTTCCGAACTTATTATTGATGCAGACGTGATGGATTTGGTTCTGTGTGGTGTGATCCGGTGAAGCCCATGTGCCCTTATGTATTCCATTGTGTGGGAGTATGGTGCCTTCTGTAATGTCTTCGTACAATTGATCTTTAACGTCCTCATTGTTGCCGCTAGTAGGTGCATAGCACTGGCTGACTTCCGATGTAATTCCCTCCTTCTTTGTTTGAACTATGCTTTAATGAAACAGCGTGTATCAGTTATTCGAAGCACCATCAAGTTGTTTCTTCTCACTTCTGCAGCAAGATGAGTTGTTCTTCCGGTCTTCCACAATGTACGATTATTTCATATAGCTTTATTAACAATTGCTCTGGCTGTGACAATGAGCATCGTCTTCGTGATTTCCGAAGAAACTCGGCTTTCATCATTAGGCATGATAACTCTTCTAAAGAAGGCACTGCAACCTTCAGGATGGAGTTCAAATGGTTTGAATTATTTTTCATGGTTAGGGCATTTTAGAAAGTTGGTATTTCATGAGATGGGTTCGCTAACAGTATGACCAAACCTACTCCTTCAATCAGGATTGAGGTCGTCAGTAACCCTAAAAGGGTTACGGATGATGTCAGAATTCTGCATAGAAGAATAACTGACTGATCACCTCGACGTTTGCTTTTCACAGAACGTTTCGGAATGATATTCAGAATAAATAAAAAGTTGATTTACATCGCATTCGTTTGATTAGTTGTAGGTTAATCAATTGAGGTTAACCAAGTTATTGAAACTCGATATAGCCTAGACTGACGAATGAGGATAAAATGTACTCGGAAAAGTAGTTTCATGAAATAACTCACAATAGTTTTGTTGTGACAGGTATGTCCTTTCGGCTTGAGTCGTCCACTTTCGCTGTACGCATGAGTAGGAATTCTCTGACTTTTCAGCTCTACATGTCCTTCTTGTTCTGCAAGTTCAGTATTCATGCTACTTCATCCTCATGGAGGTTCTGTAATCATAGACTTGATTCTTTACCCGCAATCATTTGATCTGCACTTCATACGTTCTTGATATCAGGTAATGTAAAATAATCCAGATTTTCCGTCTCAACGTAACTTTCCTTAGGTGATTTCCAGTCCACAGTTACTTGAAACCTGAAAAGCAATATTTACACCACTAAAGAAAAGAGCAAAATCGGATGGCAGTTGAAGATATTATACATAGGTCAAAATTACTACTCTTCTATGAACTACAGACGGTTGAACATAAAATTTTACGAAATTTGATGATTAGTGAACAATACCACGCATTGCTGAAATAATCGGAATAGAAAATCAACTTTTATAAAATGTTTTAATGATAAAATAAAACAAAAGCATTAGCATACAGAATAAATACCTCGGTGGATAAGAACAACTCTTATACTAGAAAGATTTCACATTGAATTAAAAAACGTTATATCGTGCCATTTAAGGGTCTAATATACTTCAATTAACTCAGGCTCTTTGAACGTTCATGAAACGCTTAGGATATACAACAGATGAACTTACTAGTCATTCCTAAAGATCCATGGTCTTTAGATTCAATGTGAAAATGATTCTTCGTGAAATGTTTGAATGGTTTGTTTACAGCAATGAAACGTTGAAGAATTTTTATGGACTTACAGATGATATACATGAAACGAAGAGACAATGTTAATTTAACAGTATATTTTAGAACGTATTTTAAAGCGTAAGTTAAAATTCCCTAATACATTTTTTTTTATCCATATTCATTGCGCTATACTATACATAAAATTATTGCTGTAAAGAACATCCCTTATTGTGACACTTCATTTTAGGAAGACTTAACTTTACAAAATGTTCACAAAATCAGTCTGCTATGTTTTCAAACATTTACTTCATAGTTTTCAAGGTAGAAAGTAGATTTTTCAATATATCAGGAAATAAATATTTATATGAATGTTGTTGAGAAATCATGACTACTTTTACTTTGTAAAACATTTCAGTCGAATTTTGTAAAATCTTATGAAGAAAATGATACTTTCAGATTTTCGACAAGCGTTTTAGTAAATATTTGAATTTCTAAAATGCACAATTTCCGGATAATGTATAGATAGTTTCTGTACTAGGAAAGTAAACTTAAATGTTGGTTAGAATCAATTTGTGTTTATTTCAGTATGTGAAAGCATTTTAAGGCTAAACAAATATATCTCTTTCGTTCGTTGCATTTTTGCTCTGATAGTTTACAGTAAGTTCTTTTTGCCAATAATTTCCATGAATTTCTATTTGTCTTAAGGAAACTATCATACTATTTCAACAGTTCATAGGATTTAGGCGCATCAGTATAACCACTTAAAATTAGTGTAAATAGTGTAAATGTTAATTCAAATAAAAGACTGACCATTTCTCACTTTACATCTACTCTGACTGTGTACTCATATTTTTTATTTAATCTGCCAATAAAAAAACTCATTCAAATAGCAACGATGACAAATACAAGAATATTTCTATTAGACTATTCAACACTTTATTTATAAACAAAGCTAGTCAGTCACTTGTAACGTAGAACTTGGTTTATACGTACATCACTTCAAGTTGTCACATTACATCAGCACAGTGGCACATAAAATTGCCATACCGAATCCAAGAGTAGTAAAGGAAATAGCGATATTATTGGAAATAGAAAAGATTAGAGATCGAAGTTAAAATTCGAGAACATGTAAATCTGTAAAATAAAAACGAAAGAACAGAGAGGTTATAGGGAACTCAGAATATTAGAAGTCGGTGGGGGATATAAATAATAGATACAACTAGAGCATCGCAAGTGATTCTGAGTGATGACATTCAAGGTCTCTAAAAAATGTGTACGATTTTCACGCGGATTCCAACGAGATATTCTACACCTATTAAAATGGTTCAGTCTAGTTGTCAGTCATGGACTGATGCAATGGTTCAGTCTTGCCACCAATAGTTTTCTTCCAACACACTCCGACATCTGACAGCATCGGGTATTCACGTAGTCGGTAGATGGTCATAAATATTCTGTGAAACAAAATATTTTGATAATTTTAAAAAATATATCTTTAAGGCATAGTAGTGTGTGTTCAACCGTGTCATTCTAACGCAGTTATCGCTAATGAATCGATACGCAAAGTTAGACTCAATAGGCGATGTTACGAGGTTTCTGCAACCGTGTTTAAATATTGCCACTAAGAAACTGATATAAAAAATCTAATCACTGGAAATTCAGTTCGCATTTAATTTTCACTATTATTTGAAATTTAATTAAACCATTCTGTCTAAACTACATAACCAATATTCTTTTTCTTGTGAGTACTTTTAGCAAAATACTGCAGACTTTTACTATGAATTAAATCAAACATAATTGTTTAAAAATTATTTTAAATCAATAATATGTTCAATGGTTAAAAAAGTACAATCTAATAAAGATTTATCTTTCCAAAAATAACATATACATTTAAGATATTTACAAAAATTTAATTATCTAATTGTTTAAACAAACAGAGAAGGAAGCAGAAGGTGAGTGATCAATAATTGTTGATCATGTAATGGATGTTCAGATAAAATCAGTTATAAGACGAACGGACAAAATTATAATGTAATAAATGCAGCATTCAAATTGTTGCCATTTGGGCCCTATATGGCTTCCAGTAATGCATCAGATACTCACGATTCCCAAACCAAACAAATGGTGTGACGCATTAGGGAAACAGAGATTCTAATTGAAATACACAAACACAGTTTCGTGTAGAGCAGGAAAAACGCGAAAACAGGTACCTAGGAGAACAAATTCACGCTTCTGGCTCAGATGAAAATCCACAGTACAGTACAGTACACATTGAGGGATTTTCACAAACAAGTTGACACATACATGTAAAATGATCTTAAAAATACGGTTATTTAGTTAAATTTTTTCGAATAACGTTTTCGTCTATTAGGTTACAAATATCAACTAACCCTATGAGATATCGACAGAACCTAAATTAGGATAGAAAAACACGAGATTTGTATATATGTTTGTATCTATATAAAAGCTCATTGGTATAATTTAGATGTGAATGAAAGAGGTAAGTTAGTTTACCTGATTAGTTTATAGTTCTATCTGTCATGATTATTGTTCATATATTAGACAGTATCGAGTCACTCTTGTTGGATTCGCTATATGTAATATCTGATACTTGTTCAGATATCCTTTCTTGATCAGGTATCCTTGTTTCAAGTCTGTTGACACTTGTTCTTCCAACTAAATCTTACTGAAGAGAGCATGTAACATCTTTGCGGCAACAGTCGTATTTGCTTTCAGTGTTTCAGGTGATATGTTGTTTGGTCGTTCTGGTTCGTCACTCGTGATTGCTCCGATGACCATGCTGATCTCGTCGCTGGTATGTGGATCAACAAAATTCGAATTGTCAGTAGGTGCTGCTTCGATGTTGGGTGGGTCGAGCGAGGTTCATCCTTGATGTTTTTCCAGTTATTTTCAATGGAAATATCCTCTACACTGAGTAGATCGTGAAATATCCGGAACATATTGCTGATAACTATTATAAATTCATTCATTTTGTCAGGATCACGAATAAACGGCCGTATTAAACTTTTGTGATACTGTTCACCCAGTTGTTCATTGCTTCTTTACTATCCGTTTTATCTTGGACACCAGTAAGTGATGATCTGAAGCGATGTCAGACCCTCTCTTAGTTCTCATGTCCTGTTTGGGCTTTCTGAACTTATTATCGATGCAGACTTGATGGACTTGGTGTGGTGTGACCTGGTGTTAGATGAGATGAGTTCGCTAACCGCATGACCAAACCTACTCCTTCAATCAGGCTTGAGATCGTCAGTAACTCTAAAATGGTTACGGATGATGTCAGCATTCTACAGAGAAGAATAATTTACTAATCATCTCGACGTTTGCTTTTCAGAGAACGTTTCAGAATTTAGTTTTAGGAAAGAACTCACATTAGTCTTGTTATGACAGGCATTCATATTGCTTTCAAATACCTTTAGCACGAATTATTATCATCAATACATGGTATTTCTTGGGATGTCTGAATAAAATTTCGACATCCTTAGTGCTTTAATCTTGTATATATTTCTTTTCAAATCACTAGAATCAGAGTATTTTCTGTAACCTAATTTTTCTTATAAAGCTGCAAATTATTATCATTTTCCCCTCGCGTTTTACTTTAAGGTTACTTGTTGTTGACCTAGAGAATTTTCTTTCAGGTCATCTATGGTTTTTGATTTCGATCTAGGTTTGTTTACCTGAACAGTTCAAATATATTCTTATTTCCTGCTATTCGTTTGAATGGACGACAATAACAATGTTTGTTTGAGCCATATATAATAAATAAACACTACCTTATTTTACGTGGACGGAGAGAATAACTTCACATATTGACAAGGCGGGATTTTATTTTAGAATTTAAAGTGTTATTCATCGTCTGATAAGTTTGAATAAATTGTGCTAGACTAGTAGAGCAGCACTGGTGTTAAAGATAATGATTTTGCCCATTTAATAATTATATAGACGTGATGATATTCCAACAAATTATTGGTGCCCTTATTCTTTCTAATAAAAAGACAAAAAACTGAAAGGTGAGCTGATAGAAAGATCAGTGATTTTCATCTTGTTTACTTTGAAAGCCAATGACCTAACGATAGTTTAATACCGTTTAACCTGTACGCTATGAGGCTATGTATAAACAGATGATGTTTGTGTAAAACTTTTAATTTCTTTCATAAATAATTATCCGTAGAGTAAAAATACACTGATAAAAAGAAAACCTTGGTACTTTCCTGGTGTCTATTTCAGTTTCGGGTATTTCAATCGCGAATTCCGGGGATCCTGATTTTAATTTAAAACTTTTAATCGGCGCACTTGAATTATTATTTGGAACCTTATGTTTATAAATTTGAGAATCTTTGGAAAACATTATTTTATGAAACATCAAATTTTATTTTCCACAAAGTATAGTAAGTTTAAGCATCTATTTAGTCAGGTATATCACGTCATATTGATAGAAACTGTTGTATCAAAACGATTTGATAACATTTACTGCTTCGTATGAAATATCTTATATTTCTGAATTGCCTGTGCAGTCAATTTTAGTAAACAATGTTAATAAATTCTGATATGGTTTGTACTCTCATTGCTCTCCGAATTCAGTTGAAATCATGGAATAATATCACTTTCAGATGTGTAACGTTTCAAATCAATTTTTGAGCCACTAAAAACCCATTTAACTGTAACAATACGTGGTGCTTTATCATAGTTTTTAATCAATATAAATTTACTCTTGTACAACATCAAAGTTCATTTTTAAATTAAACAGCTAATTTCTACCACAAATTTTTAATGCCATTAGCCATGTTTAATAACCGTGAGTCAAACATACTTTTTAAAATTTTTCACGAATTTATAAACTGGATATGTGTAACTTTTACAAACTGGTAGTTTATTATTATTTATTAATAATTATGAGATCCTCATACATTTAATGTGGTTCAGAAAAAAGTTTCAGTTTCAATGACCCATTTAATTTAACCACTGACAATTTATGTTATAAGATGACATTATACTTAATATAACACGTCATGTATAACCTTGGATATCTTGAAAATAATGATTCGTTACAACTGACAATCAGATACCTTAATCTGTATTTTCCTAACAAGCAACGAAAAAATAAGTCACATACTAAAGCAACTTAAACTGGATTAGTGATTTTACTAAGTAATAGTTTTAAATTATTCAGATAACCTTATGGAAATACATTCTTCAAGTTCTGCATCTACAAAAATTGACTAGACTTTACCATACTTGGGCAGCAACTTAGTGGTCCAGAGGTTGAACGTTCGGGTGCAAGACCTAAGGTCCTAAGTTCAATTCCTGAAGGTAGCTGGAGTCGTGGATGTACGCTACTGGTGAGTTCGTTGCCAAGACGAAACGGCTGTTCAGTGCTTCCAAGTTCTTAACGGTGGTCTAACAATTTCCAAAACCCTATAATGAAAAATATAATTCATCTAACCAGCAAAGAAAATTAAGAAAATTTCTAAGATCACAAAATCTTGATTATCTTGTCTGATACAATCATAAATCTGATTCAAAATCATCATAAATTATCATCTGTTTTAAAACTTAGAGGATGAACATTGTAGAAAGTTTTCTTTCGAAGCTTTTTACTTGTTATTTCCTTTTATTACTGAGTGTGAATACGAATATAATCTAGATTTCACGATTTTCTGGAAGGATTCGGACAATCTAGAATAATAATTATTGAATCTCATAAGTTCATAATATTTTCCAAGTTATGAAAAAGCTATAGAACAGATATTACAGAGTATTCCTCATTAGTTTCGTTCAAATCTCTTTCAAAATATCTTAGTATGCGGTAATTAATTATTTAGATGAAATCTACGGTTAACTGGGAAAATTCGATAAATCAATAACTAGCCATTAAAATTATGTGAATAATTCAATATGAATAGCATTTTAACTTTATGACCATGTAAAAGCATAATATGGGTGAATATGATTTATATAAAAAACTCCAGTCATTGTTTGCAATGTGGGTTAAAACCATCTGCATTCATGGAATTACAGTTCTAGATGCTTGTTTTGTGGTCAGTCGTATTCTGATGCTAAGCGATAAATGCCTAATTTTAATTACGATTGGAGTTATCTGTAGAATGGAACCACAGTTAATCAAAATTTAAAGAAATATATCTTTTGTAACTCTGCATTTGTTGCATTATCAAGTGACTTGTTTTTAGCATTATATGTTGTGAAACTTTCTGGTGACTCATCATTTAGCAAAATGTTATTTATTTAGCTTACATACTATTATAACAAGTTTAAATTGTTGTAAAGTAAGAATCATATTCATTCGTCATTTATTTGACAGATCAAGAAAATAATTGTCTTGACGGTAAATTGTAAAGTTCACATTTCTTTTGATCATCATCTTAAATAAAGTGCATACGTATTTTTGTGGGAATAATACCATAATTAATTATTTTTCCTTCATTACTGGTTTTCAGTCACCGATATTTTTTTTATCATATACAGATGAAGTAAATATATCATCAAATCATCGTACTTACTGAAGCACGTTTTGTCAATGAAAGAGTCTACTAATACTTGCTTACTTGAATCACGGAGAACTCCATTAGTATTTAAGTCAGGAGGTTGATCTGCAATGCGAATTCTTAAATTCATCAACCTCTACTCAGAACAATAGAATCTAGTTGTGTGGTTAAGAATATCTACCACTTAGACTCACATTACACATCTTTGTACAAGTAAAATACAGGATTGCGAATATCCGAAAAAAATAAATCTTAGCAGGCACACATTAAAGAAATTGCTGATATAAAACTGGGTAATAAATTTTCCGTTAATTTAACGATAATTTATCAGCAGTAAAAAATATAGCAAATAATTTGCTAAAAGACATCTTACATTTAAGATTAGATACAGGTCTAGTGAATCAAAATTAAATACTCATTGGAAATGTACAAGCTTATTTGCTAAAGTTTTATAGTGCTCTTTTCTCATTCCATACCAACAACTTCTTCGTATAATTGAGACAAAACAATAAAAGTTAAACTTGATAAACTTTTCCTAATTAACAAGTAATGAGTATTTCGAAGAAACAGATGCCCTAGCTAACAAAATACTACCAAAGAGTGAACAGTCAGTAGTCTTTAAAACATTTTACATTTGAACTTACTAAGCTGGTTCAGATTGATAAAGGATTGGGCTCTTGAAAGTTTCACTACTTTCTGTTTCTTGTCCATAGGTACTTCAGATAGGTTTTATTACGTAATGAGTCGAAAACGAAATCGTTTTCACTTTACTCTTCAAAAATAGATGATCTGAATAATTTTCTGTTTCCCTTCTTTGGGAAAGTTGAGAAATGCTTTAAAATGTAGTAAATAATAAAGGGTAATGAGTCACTTCCTCAAACATTTCTCTCAATAAGCAGATTATCCTATCTATGTAAGATAACTTCCTCAGACTTGGTAGTAAATCAGTGACTGACAATGTATAATTAAATGTCTTTTAAATTACGTACACAAACGAAAAAGTGAATACTTTCAGAGGAAGTATCTATTACAAGCGGAAAAAACCGAATTATATTTTGTAATTAGTATTCTAATGGTTAGCACTGAATAAAATAAATTATTTCAGAAATGATAGTTCCTACCCCACAGATCTTGCAGCGTAAGATTTAGGACTCATGGAAAGAATCTAAATTTCGTTATTAGTAATTATTAATCCTGGTTCAGATGCTACAGAAGTTTATTTTCAAATCTACTGAAAGTAATCATGAAGTGATGAATTTTTAAGCAAAAGGCGTTATGACAAGATACACTGACCAATTGTGAATTAATGTTAAACTTGGTCTACTGAAAGTTAAATTTATGCACAAGACTTTACATTACCCTTCATATTCTTAGTTTATCAAGTCATTCAAACTAAGTCTCTACCATTTTATTAAATCTCTCTAATTCCAGATGAATTCCAGTCAAACGGGTAAACATTAACTATTTAAAATTCTTTGTCTTTCAAGAAACGTTTTCTACGAATTTCGATGTTGACATAGTAAAAGGATCAGTTGTAAACAATTTATTTACCTAACAGCATCTAACACATAGTCCTGACTAGTTAAAGGACATTTAAAATTGTTTGTTTGTAACAAAGAACTAATCATCTGCAGGAGTTTGTTAGTTCTAAGTGATGCTTTTTGTACTTTCAAAGTAAATAATGTATATTCTATGGTAAAGAAACCTTGAGTTAATAATAGTAATAACTTAGTAATATATTCTTACAATGAATCACTAAACTTTTCATCAATATATATGCAGTCAAACTTATTAAAATGACCATATCATTTAATTCTGTAATAACTTATATTTGCTGAAAACCTTACAGATTGAAACTGTAATGCGGACTTCTTTTGTCTGATTTAACAGACTCAGTATTGAATAAATTGCTAAAACTCTTGAAATTCAGTTGCATTTCGTCGTAAGCGAATCTGATTACAGAATCTTAATGATTTGTCAAATAGTTGTTTTTGTGTATAATGAAGCAATGCAGTTTTTAAAGTGACGCATTTAGTTGTGAATAAATGCTAAGAAGCCAACCATATGATAATTTTAAGAGTAATTCAGGATCTTTAAACATGGTTTCGAGAGAGAAGTACTGTACTTAGGATTGCTAGTATCAAAGGGAAGCACGTTAATAACAATATCAGCTAACATCGAACGAAAATCGGCAGAACAATTGCTTGTTATTCAAAATTTATCATAGTTCGACTATTATAACTGATCATAGTTCAGTGTTAGCGAATTAAATTAGCCATACCATTTGGTTACATATTTTAATAAACTATTGTTTTAAATCATTTAGACATTCATACTTCAATTACGCTTTGAAAAATTCTTACTTATATGTTTACTGATTAACAAGTCTCACGTGATTGGTAAATATAAAAAGTAATTAACTATTAAGCCAACACGTTTTTAATTTATAGCACAATATTCAGTAAAGTATGGTATGTTTTTGTTAGCACATTTTATGCATTAACGAGAGTTGACACAGCATACCAATTTTATTTGAAGTATCTAACAAACTCATTTTTACTTATTTACTTTACTGGACATATTTACATGATTTTATTTGAAAAATTGTTAAAGCTTATATCAAAAGTATCTAAAGTGTGAATTAGAAATTACTTTAGTGTTAAAAAGTAAACCTGAATGTAGAATTAACATGAAACTGTGATTGAAAAATATAGGACACTTCAATATTCTTTTGCTTCAGTTTCCACAATGTGTCATTAATAGTGAAAGTCATCTGTAGAAATCCAGTATTGCCTGAACCAATCAAACTAAATTTTGTTTGTAAGTATCATTCCATCATCAGACTACTGAATTTTTTCAAAGCAGTCGCTAAACAACTTCTTAAGTTGCACCACTGAGCTAACATTGTCAAGTAAAGTTAATGACTGATACATGTACATTCTTAATGTGGCAACCATCAAACAAGGTTTACATTCAGTGTTACTTATTTCGCCTTTGTAGTGACGCCAATTAAAACCTATTGGTATTATTTCGCTAATTATTAGAAAACATGTAGCTCATAAATTTGTCCTTATGTTTTATGATTAATAAATTGAAACGATTGAAAACATTTTTCTCCAAAAATACTCAGTGCATCTAAATCATATAATAGAGATCTAAGTTGCTTTTTTTAATATCAGACGAATGGACTTAATATGAATGAATCTCATACAGCTGAAGACTTATAGGATTTAACTAATTAAAAAGATTGTTTGAAAATACTCCATATAGCCTGAGTACAAAATGATCAGTTATTTTCTTAAGTATTCGTTGTATTATTATTGAAAATTCTATTTATCGGTGTTAATATTTTTTGTTTAAATAGTACTTATTACTAAATGTTCAGCTAACAGATAAATGTCACATTATTTTTTTCATTATAATTAACATGTATGTTCCAATTAAACGGTTTGCGAACAAACAGTAACATCGATTATTCAAAAAACTAATTAACTACTAGTTAGTGGTAAAATAGAAAATTCAAAAGACTACATCACTAAATTTGAACAGAGAAATGAGAAGACATATTTTGTGAGATAGTACCATTTCGTGCTTTCTCGTCAGTCACATACAAGCAACATGTTATTTGTGTAAATACAGTTTTGAAGATGAGGTCAAAATTTCTTATTTAGCATGACATTCACTCACTAGAACCATGGTAAACAAAGCACGAAAGCACGAAATGGTACTATCTCACAAAATATGTCTTCTCATATCTCTGTTCAAATTTATCAAAGGAAACCACTGTTTTGTACATCACTAAATCCCTATTCATAGACTACCTATAATATCATTTTATCATTTGAATTGTAGCATTATTTGTATACCAAAAGTAACAAATTACACTTATTTAACTCTTTTGATCAAGAAGCAATTCAATTACCTTTCTAAATGGGACAACATAGAGTGCTCTATATTTTTTGAGTTAGTCGTTAAAAAATATCAACTAGAAATTTTCTGTTTACTTTTAACTATTTACAAATTTTTAATTGTGCATGTATCTTTCGTTTATTATAGGCATCTATTTCGTCATTGTTCTCTAAATGTTAATAATTTGGCTAAACTTATTCTAAATGTCCATGCATGAAAATAAAAAAGAATAGTATCGATTGTCAGTAACGAACCAACTTACTGACATACAATGAAATCAAGTCTCATTATTTGTCTTCTGTAGAAATAAATAAAACATTTTTACCAACATTTCAATATTCATACAAAACTAATAACTAAATTTATGATACAATTTTATATTAAATTGATCCAAACTTAAAATGAATTAAGTCTGGATCATAATTTTGTAATTGTTTCATTCATTACGATGAATTCACATATATTTACTAAAAAAATTTTTCATTTGAAACTCATTATAAATATTTGGGATTTCTTGTAAAGAAAAATTCGATGTTCAAATACTTTTGAAAAAAGGGGTGTACATTTACGAGAATATTTCGACTATAGGATGAGATAACGTAGAGGTTAATTGGTGAAAGGCAAATACTTATGAAAGAATTGTGAAGTTTTTGCATACGGATTCCAAACAGGTTTGTGTGACTGAAGTTATAAATGTAAAGCACAAGATGCCGATTCAAATGACTGAATATAATGGTTGACCTTCAAGGTCTGAAGATCCTGAGTTCATTTTTCAATCTGGTTGTGGATGAACACGTCAGAATGAAAGAGCTAGTTTATTACTTCAACATCATTTAGTGGTTTGGACTATGAAGCCGTTATATTTATCATCTGCGAAGCAAAAACCATTCACCTGAATTTCATCCTTGGAATTTTCTTTTGTGACTAGATTCAATCCATCCGAAATGCATTATTTAAAAGATACAACAGGTTTGTTAGGATTGCGACCAAGACAGCGAATATTTTCACAAAAGAGGAGCAAGTTCATTGGTAACAACAGTAGTGAATGCTAGACAAGATTCTGACAACGATGACACTATTTTCCTTGCCATACTTGTTGATCCATGTTGAGAATCGATTGGGTATTGTGCAATGGATCTTCATATATTTTGTCTGTTTAAAATATATTCAGGTGGGTAATATCTGTTTTCATGGAAAGACAAAGCAACAGGATGTTATGAACCCCAAAACAAGACTGTAAGCTAAGTAATTTTATACGAGGCATGCTTCATGAATGAAGGCGTCAAAAAGGAGAGTCTTGTGTAGTGTTTTTGAAGTCTTTAGCAGACTTACTTTCAAACTCTGTGGATTAGAAGGAGAATACACTTTACTCTTTGAGATCACTATTTTGGTTACAGAAAAGGAGGGATGATTTGGCCATACTACTATCCAAGACATTTCCTGTGAAGTAACTCCAGTTACAAAAGAAACAAAATTCGAGGGTGATTAAGTGGTATGTTGCACTTAGATTGTAAGCAGATGTACACTAGCATATAATACTGGAATTAACTAGTTGGTAGAAGCAACATGTTGCACAACAATACGTAACGTGATATGGCACAGGAGCTTCGCCGATAACCTTCCAAAGCCATTTATTTACTACTGCGTATTCTATAGTTCAGGTGACACTTATTTTCCATTCCATTCCTTAGGAGCTCTTACAAATAAAATATTTGTCGATAATTTGATATGCCGTGGTCTCTAACAAATCTGTCAAATATTTTGGCAGGCTAAAGGAGACTGGGATGAATATAATGACAGTTCTAACTACTTTTCTTATGGTTTGTCGATGATCCAGTTTGAATCTTAGATTGTCAGACTTTGATACATAGATGGTCTAAGAAAAATAGTGTAAATGTGATGATCACGTACATCCAGATCCTTTAATAAAGCCTGAATAAGATAAATGCCTAGACCATCAGAGACGCTCTCTCCATTAACAAAATCATAAAGTTCGGGAAGTACTGATACACAAATCTCATGCTATCTGGGGGATTTCACTATCACCATTCCATTGCAGGAACAGATGAGAATATTACTCGGTGCGCTGAACTTCATGACGCTTCTGTAATAATTAGAGCGTATTATGCTGTAATAGTACGAGTAGCAGTTGACTATAATCATCGCTACAGGCGAATCAATTATCAGGTTAAATCCCTCAGTAGAACAGAAATGAGAAGGAAAACTGGAAATTGTGATTTACATATTTGTTAGTGATTTCGTGGTTTCAAAATAATACAGTGCGTACGTGAGCAGGGTCCAAGTCACAAACGAAGGAAAATGGAGGGATTTGTTACAGGTAAACAAAGAGATAAAGTAAAACAACCACTGGTACGACTGGTATTTCTATTACACTAATCGTGTCCTCTTGATAACAGTAGGTCACTACAATACTATGAGTTTCCATCTAGTACTCTTCTATCATATTCTATAATGAAAACATGAGTAAAGTAGCCGAAAACACACGTCATGGAACCTATATTCCCGATTGGCATCCAAGTTTCAAAGGTTTCAGGTGATTTTGAATGCAATAGAAGGTATACAGACTTAAAGAGCATTCCTATCTCTCAACTGTAGTTGGTCGATTTTGAAATGGTGCCTCACACCTGTAGCCCAGATAGATGATTATGATAGGGTTCCGTTTTTCTGAGCTGGATGGTTCAGTTGAGGAACTTTCATTGTTCGTCTGAACAGCAACATCAGCATGTACTTCAAGAAGAAGTGAACCATCCGTATCTCCACACGAATGACTCTTAGCTAGTCCTGCTCACCTCCATCTTGAAAATCTTTATTGACCTCTGACCTATGATTGTCTAGTTATTTATTTTGTCCTCCCCCTTTGATCTGGGTCTTGATCGTATGCTTGTCTGTGGTTTTCCTGACTGGTTGATAAACTGGTCCGTTTTTGATTGTCAGGTGAAATGAATGCCAAGCTTCTAAACATCCTCTATTGTCTCTTGTATTTCTTCTACCCAGTACGTCAACATCCTGCTGTTTGAATGCGCGTCTCTGTTTTCTATCTATTATGCAGTACAGCTTTAGTACTGTCTACATACTAAAATTTATATAGTTTTCAGTACATGCTGCTTCATTTGCTGAGTAATGTTCATTGTGTAGTGAGCGAGTCAATATACCCGACTGACTATGCTCACCACTAAATGTTCCGTACGGCCCCGTCTTTAAGACAAAATAAATCAATGGTTGGGTATTTTATCGAAGAGGAACGTTGGCATTACATGGGGAGCAGGGCATTTAGAAAAATGGCAGCAGCGCGAAGAGAACGTTGCGCGCAAGAAGTGAAAGAAGTGTCTTTGGTACAGTTAAACAAAACGAGAACAGTAATGTTTGTTTTTCACAAATCGTATTTTCTTCGTAGAAGCGTTCCTCTACAATTGTATGAGCGTTCTCTTCAGAATCCTTAAACTTTTGTGATTTCGCTTTTGCAAAAAAAGCGATCTGTTAAAAAGCAAAATTCATAATTATAACCAATAGTACCAGTGAACGTTTCACCGAACACTTTGTTTATTCGTACTTTGCACCACGCTTCTCCTTCTGGAAGTTTCCATCTTGCTTTAGCTCCACTTTACCTTCGCCCAATTTTCTGGCACGTTCCGGAATACTTTCGATGCTACTAAATCACTATCAAATACACTTATTTCATATGAAAGATCTCGTCTTCTCTCTTACAACACGGGATTTTGAGATGACACATGAGACCCAAACTTGATTAGTTTGTAGACGTGTTCAAAGTCTTTAGGCTCAAACATGTACAACCTTAAATACAGGAAAAACTGGCTAATAAACGTAAATCAAAAGAGAACTTGTGTTTAATCTTCAATATTCAATATCTTTTTCACGATTAATTGATTTCTCTGCGGTCGATTATTGTTCTTTCGGTACAGTTTCAGGTGTCTAATCGGGTCCATTGGATAAGAGTTCAATCGAATGCATTAATTCTAGTTAGATGGCAGTTGTTTGTGAGGTTAGGTCATGTGATTTGAATGAGTGCGTTTGTTTCAGCGCAGTGGGCTTCTGGATACCAGCAGCAATAACGTTACCAGTCTCTTCTTTAAGCTGTCCACTGAGGGGTTAGCGGTCAACCCGGTTTGGAGAGTATTTTAAGCTTGAACAACCCGTCATTAGCAAAAATGTGCGCAAATCTTAGTTTTAGCTCTTTTAAGGTTTACCTCGAGGAGCGTGGCGGTGATGATTCAGTAAGATGCTCACGTTGGGATGGTTTAGCGTGCCTAATATGTTTTACGTTACTATCAGATCACCTCTAATTCTCAAGTAACTCACTGGAAATAATCCCAAGTTCTGGAGTCTATCTTTGTAAGTTTTATTCTTCAGCCCTATCACTAATTTCGTTGCTCGTCTCTGTATTCGATCCAAGAGACTTATGTCTCTTTCAAGGAGAGGGGATTGACAACGTTGTGAACGTCTAGGTGTGGACGCCCATATATTTTAAACAACTTTAAGAATAGTTCTGTAGTGATAGCACCAGGCTGTCTTCGAATTAAGTGAAGAAATGCATTTGACTTATGTGCGTCCTCTACATAGTTCGAACTGGAGTGTAGGCTTTCAATAGTTATTAAACGGAAATCGCCCTCTGAAAACACATTCGGACTTAAGTTGAGAGTGCTGTTTGTTCGCTTCATGTGGGGCAGAATATATGTAATGTAACATTTCGACTTCTTAGGTTTTAGAGCGTTTTCACCACTCATTCCTCAGTAGACGTTAGGTCCTTTTGAAGCTTAGTTGAATTCCAATTGACCTCTAGATCTTTGCGTTGTTTGAGTAGGTCAACGCCGCCGAGCTAAATTAGTCTAATAGATCGTTGATGCATATCAGGCAGAGAAGTGAACCTGAGACGATCTCCTGCGAAACTCCCGGTGTCAAGACTCGCCGACTCCCCTGAATGTTATTTACGCTGGTACGAAGTTTTCTATTCTCAAGGTAGTTTCTAAGCCAAGATATGAGTAGATCGGTGAAGATCATTCGCTCAAACTTCGCGATCAGGAATAGGTGGGGTAATTTGTCGAAGACTTCTGCGAAGTCACGAAACACTGTGCGCACTAGTATTTTCCTTCTATGCCCGAGTGTGTGATGAGCCTGAGGTACATTGTTTAGGACAGCATTCTGGATGATGTCTCTCACTGTTTGCCAGTGATCATTGTA